TGAGCAGGGACACCTCCCACTAGATCAGGCTGCCCAGAGCCTCCTCCAGCCTGGCCTTAAAGACCCCCAGGGATGGGGCCTCAACCACCTCCCTGGGCAACCCCTTCCAGGGTCTCCCCACTCTCATGGGGAAGAACTTCTTCCTCACGGCCAGTCTGAATCTGCCCACTGCCAGCTTTGCCCCATTCCCCCTAGTCCTGTTGTTACTCGATATGCTAAAAAGTCCCTCACCAGCTTGCCTGTAGCCCCCTAAGATACTGGAAGGCCACAATAAGGTCCCCTCGGAGCCTTCTCTTCTCTAGACTGAACAGCCCCAACTCTCTAACATGGGAAGCAAGGAAAGGGAGAGAGGGAAGAGCAAGGCTTTAGGTACACCCGCTGTGCAGTGGGTATGTTGCCTTCACTGTCCCTAAGGAGGAAGGTTCATTTGATGGCTTCAGAGACTCATCTAACACACAGATGGTATCAGGCTACGAGTAGCCTCTGGGCTGAGGATATGTGTCTCTGGAGGGTTACAGCCTGCCTGGGCTCTGCTCTGCAGTGTCACCTGTCCATGCTAGTGCTGACACTATCAGGGTCCCTGCCAGACAGCCCATTTCCCATGGCAGTCACCCTTCCACAGGTCTGCTTCTAATCTCTGCAGAGCACTTGTGTTTTCTCCCCCACTGATTTCACACAACCTTCACTCTCCCACCTGACTGCTGTGCCCTGACCTCTGTGTTGCAGGACTGTTCTGGATGGCTGCAAAGCCACCTCTGTGACTGCACAGACCTTGACACACCTTCCCCAACCCAGCCCAAGGGCCCAGCTCAGAGGAATATCTTCCTGTGCCTTCCAGTCTCAGTTCCTACCTTTTGCTGCTGCTCTCCCATACTTGCTGGATTCCCCACAGCATTGCTACGGGAGAGGGTTATGCAAATATATGCAACCCAGGACTCATTTTGGAATAAATCAATTTAAATTAAAATTAAGGAACAAAAAGTACCGAAACAGATCAAGCAATAAAGCCGTTTCTCTCTCTTTCCCCCGTGCCACTTTTTTTCTTTAAGGAAGCTGGTTTCTTTTCTTACATTTTTTTTTTCTTTTGGGAAGAAGCAGACTGATTATTAATTTTTTTTAAGCAATCTCAGCAAACAAACTATCTGTTGCTATTCAGAAAAACCCACCAAGTGATGTTAGTGGCTGCAGTAACAATTAATCCACGGCATTTCTCTTTGCCCTAAGATGCTGCTTGTGCTGCTACTGCCCCTTTTAGCAGACACTACCATCACCTCTGACTTTGATTTTATTCACTTTAAGTTCAAAATAAGACACAATGCTATCCCTTGCCTGGTGCCTATGAAACAGCAAGAAGCAGTTAACATGACGTTGGCTTTCTGCCTTCACCCTGCCTTGTCCTTCCCCTTCCCTTGGCCTGAAACCCCAGCAGGCTTGGCACCCAGTGCAGTTCAGACCTCAGTGCCTGCAGACCTGGCAGGGACAGACCCCAGGCAGCAAGAGAAGCTTGGCCTGCTCCAGCATCCAGGCTGCAGAGACACCCCCCTTCTGCACTCACCGAATGGAGGATGCACCCTTTGGAAAATCTGACTGGGTGCCACAAGTGGGAAGCAAGGAGAGCTGTGATTCCCAAGCCAGCTTTCAGGGAAGAGAGGGATGCTCCCAGCAGTCAGGCACACCTCATTGTGGAGCAATGAGTCCAGCAGAACTATGGCCCTTGGATGCCTGAGAATTTGTGGAAATACCAGACCTGCCCGTGGCTCCAAACCTGCCCTCCTGCACTTTGTCTCTCTGGTCATTGTTTTATTTTGGTGGCAGTTTCTATGCCAGGGTCAGGACAGGACAAGGTTGGCTGGTTTGCCCTGTTTATAGCAGCTCCCCCAGCTCTGCCAGCGAGGTCGTTTCAGAGGCTGTGAAGCTCAGGTTTTCCCTGACCCTTGCTTGGGGCCCAGATGCACCCTCTGGCCTCAGTGCAGAGGACTCCAGAGATGGATGGGTTCTTCAGCTGACCACACCGTGCTGGGAGGGCTGGTTTCTGTGGACTGTTCCCACAGTACTGCCTAGCCAGCAAACCCCAGGAGGTGTTAAACCTTTACAGTCTCTACTCTCAGATGTATTCCCACGTGCTTCCCTCCTTAGCTTCAGAACACTCAGAAGTTCATCCTTTTGCCCCAGCTGACACGAGAGCTGCCTGCTCAGCAGAGCTGATGGGGCCAGGCACTATGGAAAGCCAAAGGGGAGCAGGGCTGGGTGGAGGTGACCCCTGCAACAGATGAGCTCTCTTTTCCACAGCTACCACCTCCACAGGGAGGGAAGAAGACTGAGAGGGTATTAGAAAGATGCTGTTTCCCACTCTGGTCATTAGACCCAAATGAACATCTCTTTTTCTCCCCTCCCCCAGCTCCCACCCACCTGATGAAGGCATTAGTGACAGCACAGGCTACAGCTAAATGGAGACTAGCTACAATCTACAGTCAGAAAGGGTCATTCTCCAATCAGTGTGCAGTTTTCCAGAAAGACAGGACTGCTCATTCTACTTTTCCCTCTCCCTCTGCTAATTACTGGCACATTGTTGCTATAAATCTTTTGTCACCCTGTGGATGGCCATGACTTTGTCTGATCAAGCCCCAAGGACTGGCAATGTTTGATGCCCTATGGGCAGTTCTGGGTGTGCTGCTTCCTGGGAAGTGGGGCATTCCCCTTGCAGAGTTCCCAGGGCATTCAAGCTGACCACAGTCAGAAAGACCCTGATTAGTCTGTGGTAAGCTCTCATCACAAAAAAGATTTGTGGGTTTTGAAATCCGTCGGTCTTGCCAAGTCATTCTGAGATGGACAGTTGCAAGATGAATCAGCTGGGCTCCACCAGCCTTTCCAGAAACTGCCTCATCAAATTCAAGTCCCAGATGTTTGGTGGAATGGGCTGCTTCTGAGTCTCCAGCCTGCCTGAAAACAAGATGTTTCCACAGCAGCCAGCTAATGACAGCAATGCTTAGCATGGCCACAATGCTCTTCATCTCAAAACACCTTCCTTTTAAATCAACACTCAAAACCTCACAGGGCAGGGAAGTGTTACCAAGGCTCAAAGAAGTGGAAATTGAGGGAGAAAGAGGGAAGAGGCTGTGATCCTGGTCACAGAGGAGAGGTTATTTGAGAGCTGAGGACTGCATCTCAGAACATCAACTCACAGGGAGAAAAAGATCTAGCAAGGAAATTTTATGCCTAAGGTTTCTTTGAAGGTGAACAGCAAAGTAAGAGCAAACGTTGAGATAAGCTCTGATATCTGTGCTGAACGCCCACAGATTCAGAGAATCCATCCAGAGGAGCTGGTAGGGGCTTTCAGAAAACAAATAAAGTCCAGAGTATTTAAACTCTACTTTCCCCCTCTGCAAAATCCTCTTTCATGTCTCCTGGGCCACTGGAGATAGATAGCCCAGCATTTGGCACCACAAATTCCTGGAGACTCCTCACAGGAGTGATGTCACACCAGGATGTCCTTCAAGATGATCTCAGGAGACTGGGGAGCAGTAAAAGAGGAAAAAAAACCCAACCCACCCAGCTTCAAAGAGAGAGGGGGAAGTGTTTGAAAGGACTGAGGAAAGCTGTGCAGAACAGCCTTGGCAGCTCCATTTGGGGTATTAGGTATGGAAATCCTGCCCTTGCTCACTTTTTGCTTTATCATTTAGCTTAATGGGCTACTAATTCAAAACTAGCTGTAAACAGGGCTGGCTATGAAAAAAAATTAACACTGCCTGCCTGTAGAATTTAGGGATATATAATAAAAATAATCATAAAAAGAAAGAGCCCTGGATTTTCCATCAGCCAAAAATATTTGTCATTGAAAATCCTGCTTTGAAAAAGAACACCCAAAACTGGTAAACTCCTCGAAACCTCACATCCCAAACAGCCTCAGCAACTTTAATTTCATATCCAAGCACAGGTTTCATTTGCAATACACACGATAATGGTGTTTAATTGGATTTATTTTTCCACACTGCGTTCCCAATGGCCTACTTTACTCCTTTTCTCAGCTCTTTGAATGTTATTTACAAATCACTCTCTGGGATTTAATTTTAATGGTAGCTTTATTCCCCCCCCCCCCCTTTATTTTTTGTAGGTACTTTTCTTTAATTGTATTTGTGGATTTGCCTTTTAAATAGGCAATTGTGACTACATCCTGAGCCTGAATAAGTTGCCAAGAGCAGAGCTTGATTTGAAAACAGCAGAGTAGTTAAATGGGGCTGGTGTAACACCCAGCATTTATTGTTCTTTTCATGGGAGTACCTGCAGGTGCTTTACTTGGGCAGGTGTGGGTTCCTATTAACACTCTACCCCAAAGCTCTGCACAGACATTAACTATTTAGGCCTCTGAACCTCCCATGAGTTGAGTGCATCTTCATTATATGGTAAAACAGAGATGCTGAGAGGGGCTCCAAGCCAAGATTTTTTAGGTGAAAGCTGGGACTGACTGCCTCACTGTTGATTGAGTTTCAAACAAGGCTTTCAAACACTGTAGCCTGCTTTCTGGAGGTGCCCAATCTCTGGCCTTTTTCAGAATCTCAAGGTTGCGTCCAAGCCCTAATTCTCATGTGAATGTTGGGGCCATGCACCCTAGATGTGAATTTTAGGCCTGCTTATGCTTTTGACCTAAATCTGAACCTGTGGGCAAAGACAACTTAGGACAGGAATCTATACTGGGTCTGCAGAGAAACTGAACCTCACTGAAGAGTGTCCAGAGCTGTGTGAGGGCACAGTGTCACAGCTCAAAGACTGGCTAAAGGTTGTTGCTGTTTAGTTGATTGGTTTTTTTTTGAAAAAGAGTGGGGAAGGGGAAGGATGAGGAAGGTGAGCAGGAGACCAAAGGACATGCAGAGGAGAAGGGAAAGCCCTTACCTTACCCTCCTGCATCTCTGAGCTGTTTCACCCATCCCTAGCCCTAAGCATCTGTCAGGATGATGGAGAATGACCCGGCTAAAGAGCTACTTCAACATAAAGCATATACTGACCTGGAAAAGGATTGGGGAGTGTGGGTAAAACTCGCTCTAAGGGGGGAAAAAAAACAATAAGCAACATGCAGGAGAAACGCACAAGCCACTTTCCACACCAAGCAAGCAGCAGATACCAACCTGAGGGAGTTGTCCATCCCCAGACTAGATGAACTAGAGTAGGTTTCATACACAGAGCATTTTGCTAGCAACACACCTAATACACATCAACGTCCCCTGAGACTGGGAGTCAGAGAGAAGTCATTTGAAAATCTAAACAAATAACATCCACACGGCAAGAGGGATTAAGCACCTGCAGTGGAGGTAATTGGAGTTGATGGGCCATATCTCCCCTCTGACTTTCCAGACCACTCATGTCATCACACTACAGCTCCTTTTAGCTCCACCTCTAGCTAGAAGCTAGTCTTGGCAGAGAGGTGAGCTGTGGAAGTCCTCCATGAGTACTTGCTTCCTCCCCAGAACCTTCTCCACAACGGATTTCTTGCCAGTGATGGGTGCCTATAGGATCTGAGTGTGGGAGCTGTCACCCTGCTGAATCCTCAAGGGCACCCTACTTCTTTTGACCCTCTCTCTTCTCAAGGGAATAGAGTTTTTGGAGACTCCTCAACCTCCAGTGGTACACAGACCCTGCTGTTTTGTTTATCAGGATTTTGCAATATGTCCTTGCTACACATCACAGCAGGACTTTGTTCTACATCACTGCTGGCTTCACACTTTGCTTCTTCCACACAAGGATCTCAAAAGAACTGCACAGATGCTGAGGGAAACTTGTACCAGAGACCTCAGCCTGAGGCTAACTAGTGTTAATTCCATCTCACTGATCGTGCAGTTGATGCACAGAGCAAGGAAGCAATTTGCCCAAGGTCAAAGGCTGGACTGTTGGCAGAGCCAGCTGCAGAACTAAGAACACAAGCCAGGCCTGACTCTGATCACTGGGTCTCTTCCCACTACCTTCAGAGCCTGCTGGATGCCTGGTGCTGACCAAGACAAGTCCCTGTGCATGGACTGAGCAGTGGGTGGACATCCTGCTGTAGAGATATGCCACTAGGCAACAGCTGATAGGCCTGGGGTGGTGAGTTGTGTCTCCTGGATTACCTGGAATGACAGTGCTAAGATCACTGCTGATGGACACAGAGCTTAGCAGGGTACACCAGCAGTCCACTACTACTCTCTGATCAACACAGGGGAGCTATTTGGAGACCAATGCTCTTTTCACAGCACCCTTGGTGCAAAGAGCTGGTTTCTGACTTGCTGGAGCCCCCGTGGAAGGAGCAGGTCAGGCCCATCCCTGTGACTCCTGCCCTCACGGTGGTAGTGGAGCTGTTTGAATCCACAGCAGGCACAGGGGAGATTGCCTCTTGCCTAGAAAATACAGGGTTATCCTGCATCTCTGTGTTTATGTAGCAACAGGGGACTATTGTTCTGCAAAAGCAGGCTGTTGTGCTGACATGACTTCCTTGTTATTTAGTTTGGTTAAATAACTCAGCTCCCCTTTACCTTCTTCTTGCACAGCAGGCTGCAGGCTGCACAGCATAAGCAGGAAAAGCAAAGCACCACGGCCTCATTACCATGCTGCTTCCTATTCAGGGACTCTCCCTCCCTTCCCCTCGCCTGCTGCCTGCTGCCTTGACTGCTCCCCCCCAGCTCATTAGCAGAGTCTCAGCCTCGCTGCCACCCAAACCACCTTCTGTCCCTCCTGAGCCTCCCTGGTACCTCCAGCTCCTGGGAAAACAGGGGCTTTGCACCAGGAGGCACTCAGAGGGATTTTGGCTGGCCCTGGCAGCAGCCACCCTAAGGACATGCTGAGGTGCAGCACAGGGTGGGCAGGGTGAGGAGCAGGGCTGGGAGTGTGCGCTCACTGCCAGCACTCGTGCCATGGCACTAACAAATAACCACGAGTTTGAGGCAGGTGCCAGCTCTTCTTAGAGCCTCTGGCTGCCATCAGAACCCTCGGGCTGGAATGGTACCTCCACCTGAGCTACCTCCACCTCCAGGAGGCAGGGCTGGGATCCTCTCTGCTGCTGCTTCTCACGGGCCTCTCAGCTCCAGCTCTGCGTCTCCTTGCTGCCCAAAGGGTGCAGAGGATGTGGCAGGTGACCTGCTGAGGTGGCAGTCTCCTGTAACTGAGGCAATCCAGCCAGCAGGACTGGGTAAGGATGTGCAGCACTGCCCTGCTGTCCCCCGTTGTGTCCTCTGGGGTGGGCTAGTTCTGCAGGAGGCAGAAGTCAACTGATTTGGAAAAGCTTCTGTTTCTTTTCTCTGCCTTGCTGGAATGTGTCTGTGTGCCTGGGAGGGGTAAGGGTCCTTCCTAATACACAGGGGGATGTATGTACAACATGCTCATGTACACACAGCAAGTGGGATGAAAAGAAAACACCTTCCCTCTCTCCTAATACACTTAGGGGAAAAAAACCCCACCCTTTCCCAGCAGTTGTGGTACTATTTTCACCTCTTGCTCTGTGATGGCAGCCCTGGCTTGGCCTCTCTGTCAGGTAATTTTCCCAGAGATCTCTGTGACTGCCCTTTTCCTAGGGCTTGGGGGTTACAAACCCTGTTCCTAGGCTCTGCAGAATTCAATCAACCTACTGACTCATTAATGCTGCAACACACAGTCCTGCCTCCCAACTCCTCATCTCCACAGAGGTGTGATACCCCTGCCCCTCTCGCATGGCCTCTGGTGCTTGCTGAGCCCTTCCATGACCTAACTCAGCTCCACACAGCAACACAAAACCTCTGAGAGCATTCTGGGAGTGGGCAGTAGAGCTTGGTTACTTTCTCACTGGTTTAGCAGGTCAAACTGGTTCAGTGGGTTGTCCACGAGTACCAGAACAAGGGAAACAACAAAACTATGTGGCAGAGAGCAGGGTGAGCAAAAGGAGCAGGGAGGAAGGGAGGGCAGTAAGCTATCAGATCAGTTGCATCACCAAACTGTACCTGGCTACCCTCCCTGCTGACATATTCCATGCTGCTTCTGGAGACAGGCTCCTGGGGAGGACAGACCTTTGGTGTGGCCATTTTTATGTTGTTGTCAACTCGGTCTCCAGGAGTGAGAGGTATAAATCTCTCCACCTACAGCAGGGAATCCTGCTGCTACATCCTTTAAGAAAGATCACTAGCTATCTATTCATACAGCTCAAGGGAGCTGCTTTTGTATTTTAATGCATCTTCTGGCTATGGGATTGACATCTAAGGTGCTCGGTCTCTCTGAGAGTTTTTCAGTGCTGGCTGAGATTTCCTGGAATGGTAATCACCCATTTTTCTCTGCTGCTAAACTGTTCTTTCACATCATTTTGCTAGCTCCCCTTCTGCCCTCCACCTCAGGCAAAGCTGCCAGTTCCTCATGATTAACTCTGGTTGTTTCTTCACTCCTGGCTGCCATTCTCTTTTGTGCTGTAATGGGACACTGAGGAACCACTGCTGTATCTGCCTCCCTAGTGGGATGCTGCCCTACGGTGAGTCTGTTATCTATTTAAAAAAGAAATATAATCTCTGATTCAAGGGAGGGAAAACACTCCCACATATTTGAGTATCTGCTGTACCTTGCAAAAACTTGGCACAGCTTTATTTTTCTGCCTGGGTGCATGGCTGGTAGTGTGTGTTACCTGTTACTTCACCTACTGTGTGAGCACTACAGCACTTTTTTCACCAGGGCTTGTAGGTTTCTTCATCCCCTTGCTCTATCTTTATGAGGCTGGAATCTCTTCACTCATTTCCCCCAATTTCTTAACCTTAGACACAACCCCTGTAGTTTGTCTGAATTTAGTTTTTTCCCCCCCCATCTCTCTTCCACACTAACTGGAAGGAGAACAGAGGTTTCCTGAAACAACACGAAGCCAGCACATAGTGAACAAATAGGGATCAACAAAACAACAAAAGTCAGAAACAGTCTGCTGAAAATCAGCAAATCTCTCTCAGCTCCTCCACCTCCACTTTTCTGGCTCTGGTGAAGTTCTCCAGTGTTTTCCAGCATAAGTAGGCCTTGAATTTCTAATGTGAAATGAAAAAATTCAATAACTTGAAAGAACTAAAGTTTTCTTCATACACATCACCAGGAGGCTAAAATAGGACCCTTGCTATTACAAGTCATCTTTAATAACTGACACATTTCCTCCTGGAATAGTTAACAGCACTTTTGCAAGATCTCCCTGGGTCTTTTACAGGCTCTGCCACTCATTTTATGACCATGGGTAAACCACTTCTTCACTCAGTACCTCAGTTTCCTGCTGCAAATGGTGGTAGCACCACTCACCCATTTCTAAATAACCTGGGATGTTAAAATATTCATTGCTAGCAAATCCTTTGAGATCCTTTGAGGTGAAGTTCTGAAGTCATGCAAAATGCTTTTCTAGCAAAAGCAACCCCCCAGCTAAAAATCATGTGTGCATACATATATTACTATTGAATTTCATCTTGTATTTTTTGTTTCAGTGATGCATTTCAGCTCATCTGTGGAACAGGAACCAATAGAGAGGGGCCCAATTTAGAATTCAGCCGCAAATAATGGATTCTAAACTTAGCATTATATTAATATCAGCAAGAACAAATCTGGAGTATTTGAAAATTGTGTTCCAGATTGCTGCCTGAGGATTTTATTTGAGTCTCATGACAGTCACAAGACCAGCGTGAAGAGACTTACAAAGTAGAAATTTGCTTTGTGCACTGCAATGCTACAGGAAACCAAATACATGTTCTTTTATGATAATATCTGTTCTTTAGCAAAAAATTCCACAGAATACACCCAAATTTTGCCAAAATTCAAACTGCCTTGAAATAAATCCAGAGGTGGCAAACAAAGAATGCCAGTGGATTCATCTTTCTGCACTGTTAAAACAGAACCACCCCAGACCATGGTTTTCCTGGTGGTTTGATTCATCTGACTACACACAGCAGACACCAGACTAAACTCTGTCCCACACTGAGACTGCTTTACACAGCTTATCTTTCTTCTGTTTAAAAGGACAGGAGGGTCATGGCCTGAGTTTTTCAGTTCAGCTTGGGGCTGTCAGGGGAATACAACCCTAGGTCACTTCTGTGCCCATTCATGGGTGTGGGTCATTCTGCTGCAGCCTATTTCTGGTGGCAACACCACCACGTGATCCAAGTGGAGCCCAAGTTTTGGGCCTGGAATCAGGAACTGCATTTGGAATACACCACACTGTGCACATGGGTGGTAGGTGAGGAATGGGGCCTCTAAGGTCAGCTTCAATCAGCTGCAGAATTCAGAACCAGCAGGTAACTCTGCTCCAGAGTTTGGCCCAGTCCCAGCTTCTGTCTGTTTACACGTCCTGTGACCAACTCAATAATTGAAAGGTAGCAGAATGAGATCCCAGGAATTTTATTCCATATTTCATCTGCTGATTACCCTTTCCTGCATGTTCCCTGTGGTATGCCCCTTTAAATCATTCTGTCTTTCCCCACTTCTTTCCCTTCCATTTTCAAACTCATTTCTCTTTTTCTTGACTCTCTCTTGTTCTCCTCAGGCTCAGTAGCTAGTTCTCTCCATCTCTCTGAATTACTTGTCATTTTTCAGCTGTCACAGACCCTCCAAGCCCTGGCCTCTGTCTCCCTATTAAAGAGGCTGTCATTCTAAAGGGGTTTTTTGTTTCCAGCTTTAAAACAAACACGTTTTTATTATTTTAACAAAATCTGACTTCAGCCCAGAAAGTCAATCGACAGCCTGGACTGCCAACCTTTTAATTTGTCCATGTTAGTGTTTCATGACGAGTATGAACATGGGGGTATCTGAAGCAGAGTGCTGAAAGCCAGCTCATGGCTGGAGGTTTGGGAGAGTGGAGGGGGCAAGCAGATGATTCCCTGAGTTTAGAGGTCAGCCTGGTCTTTGAAAGAGTGATCTGGAGCTCCCTTCACCCTGTCCCATACTTACTGTAAAGGTATAGGCTGGCATTTGTGACTCCCAGCTTGTTGGTAGCCACGCAGGTGTAGTTTCCATAGTGTTCCTCGGTGACGTTGGCCACCATCAGCAGAGACTGGCTCCCCATGCTCTTTATCTCCAGACCATTAGCACTGCTTATCCTGAGAAGGCAGAAGAAGAGGTGTGTAGTGCAAAGGCAGTTGTATATTGGGAAGGGAATCACTGCCTGGCAGGCAGTAAACCCAAGTCATTCAACCCAGGTGTAGGTGAGGATGGAGGGAGGCAGGAAGGAGACATGAGAAGAAAGAGGCTAAAGAAGGCATTGATGGGAAGCAGGAGGAGGGAATGAAAGGAAGGAGCACTGTGGGGTGAAAAGGTACTGACAAAGCAGTGAAGCAAGAGAAGCTGAGGGAAAGGGAGGAAGCCTTTACCCAGCACTGACTGACCCTGGGGAAGGAGCACACCGTGGCCAGCTGAGGGCTAGTCCATACCTGAACAAAAAAGCTTTTAGTGAAACACTAATTTGTGTGTTCCAGTACGTGCATATACCAAAGCTGAATTACCTCTGAGGGTGGGCACGGGGCTGAGGTTAAAAACTATGATAAAAACCCAGCCTTGTAACAATGGCAGGTAAAGCCTCAGCTACAAGGGACAGATCCCTCTTCTCCTCTCATTTTCTCTCATATGCAAATCTGGGTGGCTCAGGTCAAACAGATGAGGGAATCCTAACAAAAGCACTATTGATGCCTTGATTATATATTAACTGTCTTATAGGCAGAAGCTCCATCCCCTGCAGTCCCTTCAGCACCCCCAGAGCAGAGGGGGATGCCCCGAGCAGGCTGGCTCTGCCGAGGCCGACGGGACCGCTGCGACTCACACGCCTTGTGAAGAGCAGCTCGTTTGAGGAGAAGAGCTGGGGAGCACCAGAGGTGACTGTCTAAGGTTCCTCTCTTGAGCAGACTGGGAAGGAGAGGGAGGAGGAGGCGAGCTGAAGGCCTTACCTGGTATCATCCCTGTACCACTCGAAGTCGGGCGTGGGCACCGCCGACGCCTCGCAGCGCAGCAAGGCTTGTCGGCCCGTGGCCGCCTCGTTGCTCTTGGACTCCGTGATGGTGGGAGGGTCTGTGGGAAGGAAACAGTGGTCACTTCACACCGTGCTCCTCTGGAGAGCACCTGCCCTTTGCACTCTCCCTGATGCACCCCGCTGGCGTCGCTCCTTAGGCGTGCTTCTGCTGGGCAGCACTGACTAAAGCTCTGGCGTAAACGCGGCGGCACACGCAGGCAGAGCTGGGGGTGAGGATGGACTTCTGCACTTCATGAATATTTACCCGTGGATCTCTAGTCCACGTGGGCTCCTCAGGGGGAAGAAGATAAGACGTCGTCAAGGGTAAAGGAAGACAGCAGAAGTAAAAGGAATAAAGGAGGAATTTAACACTAGCATGAAAATTGACTTGGGTACAACCTCTGTGCCTAATGTCAGATCTATAATAAGAAAGGAAAGGACAGAGGCAACGTGTATGAGACAGAATGGTTAAAAGAGAAGGACTTGGGCAGGAGCTCTGTGTGTGAACCTTTGAGAGCCAGACCACTTAATGAGACATTTCCCCTAGGTGTCTAAGGTCACAAATCCTCCCAAACCTTCTTGGACATCATGCTTTGTCACAGGCTCCAAGAGACCTCGCTTGTGATTGCTCTGTGTGGAACTTCATAGAATCCTTTAGGTTGGAAGAGACCTTTAAGATCAACAAGTCCAACCATTAAGCCAACAAACTTCCCCTCAGCCCAGCACACTGCTCCCACCTCTGCTTCCTCCAAAGCCTGAGAGTTGTGCCACAGGCAGAAAAAACTTGAGGCACACTGATGTGCTCCACTGGAGCTTGGTCTCAGTGCTGGCTGGGTGCTGGGTAGGGTCACACCCTCACCTTCAATCCCAGCCCCACGTTCAAAATGTTTAGATGTTAAAAGGCAGAATTATTTCTGCCTGGCTGCTGAGGGGGATCAGGGAAAATGTGCCTTGTCTCTCATCACTAATACTTTCATGCCCTGAGATTACAAGGCTGCAACTGAGGCAGCTACTTTGCTGAGACTCAAGTTCATATAAAACACACTTGGTGCATCTGGAACCGTCCCAGCACTGAAGGGCTAAAAAAAGGAATCAAAATGGATTGTGTCAGTCAAAGAAAAAAAGAATTCTGTCTGGAAAATGTATGGGAAGAAGTTTGTCTGTGAACACATTAGCCATCTCAGTGTGATCCCCCTCCTGACCTTAATCTGGATTTTATGCAGGGCTTTAGGGATATTGCAGTGAGCCCTCTAACATCATAAATATTCACAAGTGTACAGAAATAGGATCCTACATTCAAAGGCTGTGGGTTCAAGTAAATATTTTAATTTGGAAAGGAGGAGGGGTGATAAAAGGGTAGTGAAGGTGATGTTTTAAGCACCCTTCCTCAATTTTCTGGCTCCAGCAGTACATCTTCTTGCTGTCTGCAGGGAGACAAACCTTTTCCATTTCACCGGATCCAGCACAAGAGATGAGACATGAAATGAAGCAGCACCTTCCTATGGGCCTAGAAAATCACCCTGGGGGGCTGCTGCCAGGGAGCACAGCCTCTGCCTCAGCTCTTCTCCCTGGCTTTTTGGAGGACAGAGCTCAGATGGGTCAGCAGGGCATCAGATGGTGGCCTCAGCCACCGCTGCTCCCGCTAAGGCACTGAGTGAGGAGCAAGCAAGGCTGCTTGCTGCAGTGCTCTGCCAGGAGAAGGGGCTGGCAGTGCCCCCCAACAGACCAGCAGGTTGTGCTCAGAAAGCACTCAGGGGTTCCTGCTAGCTGGTTCCCCATCGCTCTTCCCCAGGCCTCAGTTTCCCTGGCTGTGCTGTGCAGGGGCCATTACCCGGGAAGCCTGAAGGTGGTAGTGTGAGACCAGAGCAAAACGAGGATGCTCTCCCTGCTCTCCGGGCTGACAAGCTGCAGCATCCACAGGTCAGCAGATAAAGAGACAGCCAGGAAGCTCTCGAGGTTGGGGGGCAGGTCCCATTATTCACACTTACTGTAGTTTCCCCACTTCTGTTTGAGGTATAATGTTAAGGAAGCAAAATAAGGAAAGATGTATGCAAAAGTCTAACTGATTCCCCAAGCAGGACTGATTGTTTTCCTGTGCATGGCCTTCACAATCTCTCAGGTATTTTCCCTTTGTTTTGAAGGGAAAGATCTGTCCTGAAGGAATTTGTAAGTTGCTTAAACTACAAATTCAGCCACATAATAATAATATTACAATATTTTATCACATTACGTTTTCACATATTCCAGCAGTAAAAATATTTTAAGATCTTGCTGTAGCACAGTTCTTATGAGTTGAAACTAAGTCAAAATCAAACATTCTGACTTTATACAAACAATCTGTTTCAACCATGTTAAAAGAGTTGTTGAAATTACGTTTCACATAAATATTTGAAAATATTAATTGGTTCTCATGAAATGTCTTGGGTTTATAAACTCAGCTGGTTTTGGTGGGGAAAAAAAAAAACCCCTTCAACAGTTTTAGTGCAGAAAACCTGCTACTACAGTATCACATTAATGCCAAATTTGGCCCATGAAGCAGCTGGTGTTAAAGCACTCCCACCCAATTTCTAGGGAAATTAGAAGAAAACTCTGGATTCTGAAGATAAGGGAGCCTATAACCTTAGCTTCTAAGCAAGACAGACAAGTGGATCTGATGTGATGGCCCAAAGAGAAAGAGACAAAGAGCAAAAATGGTATTAAAAGGTGCTAAAATCCCTGGTGGGGGCAAATTAGACTGGGATGGGCTGAAACACTTGCTGCCATCAGCTCTCTGCCCTAACCCCCTCCCTGAGAGGGCCACTCACAAATCAAGACCATGCTTATGCACCCTGTCTGTACCCATCTCCACTGTCAGCTGAAGCTAATATTGTGGTGTGTAAACTGCAGGTCAGGAGAGGATACACTCATCCATCCATCCCTGCTGCAAAGGTATTGCCTCCAAGCAAGGAATCAGAGACAGTAGATGGGGATATTCACTTTAAATCACTCCAGTGCCAAATAGGAGCCACAAAAATACAAAGGTGGACTACAAGAGCCATGGCAGTGTGAAACATCTCGTGTCACTGAGAGAGGAGTGTGGCAGCAGTGTGACAGCTGTGACACGGGCACGTAGGGGTGAGGGGACACAAGCCCCACTCCTACAGGTGGGGGTGTAAGCCACGCAGCTCAGTGTGCCTCTCCTGGGGTTTAGGTGGATTGCCACAGCCTCTGCTCCAGCCCCCTTCTGCATTGAAATGGTGCACAGAGGGCCTGGAGAGAAAGCTTTATGTTCATGACCTGAAAACAGAATAAAAGCCATGTTTTTGCACCCTCTCGCTAGCAGATGCCTCTGTACCAGGCTGTGGTACCCAGTGTGGAGATTTTTGGGTGCAGGCAGGCGTGCATTTCCTCTGAGCCAGCTGAACCCTCCCTTATCTCCTCTTGCTGCCTTGCTGAAGCTTCTCTTCACGCTGCTGTTCTCCCGAATATCAATGAGTGAGCACGAGGCGTCGCCGGCGCTTCTGAGGTGAGAGACAGGGCAGCTCCCACATCCTCTCTTTTTCCTCTCTCTCTCTCTCTGCCTTTTTCCTTCTTTCCTTAGATACTCCCAGGTTTAAAGCACCAACTAGACCCTGTGCTAAGTGTCTGATTTCAGATAGTTTCCTCAGCCTCCTGCCCCCCTTTCAGATCATGCAATGGTAACCCAGGAAGGCTGCTCTGTTCATCCTGAAGCCACTGCTGCCCCTGCTCCAGCTGCCCCTGCTCCAGCTGCAGTGTACTCACAGTTCACAGTGACCCGGACTTGCTTGACATCTGCTGAAGCCACCTCGTTGGCAGCTTTGCACTCGTATTTGCCCGACTGCTCCCGTGTGATCCCCAGGATCTCCAGATACTCCTCCTCACCTTCAAATTCTCTGCCTGGGAGGAGAGAAAAACACAGACAGCGGCTCTGTTAGGCATTCAAATCTGGGAGTTCTGCTTAATTGCTATGAAGGAACAATCACAGTGGGGATTCTGCAGATAAACAACAGTTGGGAGTGATTTTACAGTTATTTCAGAACCCACATCAGCAAGATTAGTGAAGGAAAACCTGAGTTCTGAAAATCTAGAAGGACGCATACAAGCAGTACCAAAGTGTTGCATCATCTCACAGGCTGTCCAGGCCAAGAAGCAAAATCTCCACTTGATGACTTGAGCACTGGGGTTACAGCCAGGGGCAGGAATCAGGGGAGGTCTGTGGCCTTGCTTTTCATTCACTCTACGACCTTGGGTGTCTCTCTTGGTCAGAGAGTGACACATCCCATCACCTCCTGGTCAGAGAAGGGTGGTGAGGTTGACCCATGTAAAACACATTAGGATTGTTGGCAGAAAGGTGCCAGGGAAGCACAAAATACAAGGATTCATACATCTTCCCTGTTCCTTCAGAAAGCAAAGTAAAGCTGCTCATGAAAGGATACAGACCTCACTGGCAGCAGAGTGAAGGGAGATGCTTCCCCCACTGAGAGCTCTCCAAGCACTGCTCTGCACCATGCCAAGCCCCAGGCCTGTGCTTGTGTCTGGCTAGTGGAAGCATCCCCTAGCCCTCAAAGAGCAAAAGCCAGATTTCAAAAAAGAAAAGGTCAGCTTCTAAGGGCTCTCATTGAGGTTCCTCAGACAGCAGTCAGATTTTCCAAGCAACTCTCTGCCCAGAAGACATTTTCTGCTCAGTAGGTGCTGAGCACCTCTGAAACCCTGCTGGAGCTGCTGTCCTTGGCTCTGCAGCAGGAGGTGAGAGCAGTGGACGAGCCCCATCCCCTGGAGCCTTCAGTGAATTCCACCATGCAGGCACAGCCTTGCTGCAGCACGCTGGCCAGCTGCGTGCACCTCCCTTCTCCATCAGAGACAGGGACTCCAGCAACTCCAAAATCTGCTCAGAATTCTGTCCTTTACACCAGTTTTGTAATCTTCAGAACCATTCAAGGGGAAAAAACACCCCCTGTCACAGAGACTCAGCCTGAAAACAGCAGCATACCTATTAAACTCATGCAGAGACAAGGCTTCCCTTCTCCTTCAGCAGGGCTAACCAGCAAGTCCTTTTCCAGCCTCTACCAGATGTTCAGGTGAGTGGAACATTGCTGTGTCTAAAATTTACAGCTTCTTTGATGCAGGTTATGCATCCCCTAACAGCCTGAAGGGCATTGCTGTGTGGCAGGAGTGGATTTTCCAGGGTGGAGAGGCAAAACTGGCTCCTGCTGCCCACCCTAGTGCTCCAGGTTCTCAACCCTCTGCTATGCCCTGGAGCTGGTGCTATGGGGAGTCACTGGCAGGGGAAGGAAGGTGGCATTTTCACAGGTACTTCTTATAGATCTAGCTCATGAATATGTTATGGACTCTTTACCCCTGTAGGACCCAAGGTAGGTGTGTCATAGCACTGGAAGGGACTTCAGTCAACGTGTAGCCCATTCCTCAGGCTCGAGGCAGGACACGTGGGTCATGTCAGAGCCAGCCATCCTCTGCCCCCCAACAGCAGAGACCCTGCAGCCACTCCACACATCTGTTCCTGTGCTCCGCTGTCCTCACCACTGGAGCAGCTTCCCTGAAGTTTGACCTGAGTCTCCCTTGCTGCAATTTAAAGCTATTATTTTTGTCTTAGCCACTACAGATAAAAAGAACAAATCATTCCCTCCTTCTCTGCAACAGCCTTTTATCAACTTTTAAATCACTTACGTTCCTCCCTCAGTTGTCATCTTTCTTTTTTGGCTTAACATTGCCAGGGTCTTTCAACCTTCCTCTGGAGGTGAGGTTTTTTTTAGAACCCTTGATCATTCTTGCTCTTCCCTTTTAGATTTCTTCGACAAGTTCACATTTTTGTGGGAGTGCAGCACCCCAAAGTGAACACAGCACTCCAGACGAGGCGTTACCATGGCTGAACACAGCCGAGGGATTGCATCACACATCACTCTGATTTCTGCCACAGCATGGTTCATTTTGCATTGGGAACTCTTTTAATTCCCAGATCTTCTTATTGCACTCTGCTACCTGCTAATAATGCTCTTTGAAAATCCCACCCCCAATTTGAGCTGACAACCAACACTCCCTTCCTTTCACAGCAGCACTCCCAGTTGGTAGGTCAACCAGTTGACTGGAAAGTTAATCAGACATCAGGGAAAGGCTCACAAAGAAAAGGTTAAAACATAATTTGCCTCTGCTTTGCAAGTCATTTGCTCTGCAGTTCTGCCTTGTTTATACACAGGGTTCATTCCAAGTGGGACTTGCTTCTCCTGCAATTTGCCCTTGTCACAAGACTGTCACCATAATGAAAAGAGGGTTGAGGGCGACTTAACCAGCTCTAATGGAGTGGCACCCTCATTAAGGGTGCTGCTAAGTCTGTCTGTCAGAGGACCACATCCACAGAGCTCTGAAGTAGCCTCAAAGGTTACACAGTTTCCTAAGGGAAGATGTTTTTTCAGCTTCTCCCCTGCTTATCTACACGCACTTAGAGTCAAAACCATGTACCATGTCCAGCAGCAGAGCTTCCACAGCTCCACACAGCCCTTCCCAGGACAGGATGAGCTGCTGATCTGAGCTACTGGAGCTCTCTGGGAATGAGACAAAGGGAGGACTTCTGTTGTAAAGGGCATGCTAAAGACATCAATAGGCCTATTCAGCTCCTCATCCCCCTGCTCCAGAACACAGATAGGAATAGAAGGTTTCTCTGAGAGCCACTTGCTGGAATAGTGGCAGCACTGTTCTTGTCCCTGCACTGCTGACCCATCTTTTTGCCACGCCAACCCTGGGCATCAACATTTTGCTATGAGAACTCACTTGGCTGCTCTCACTTGTGAGACAGATCCTTTTGCTTGCAGCCCTGTCCCCTCTAAGAGTATGTTAACCACTTCTAACTGGAAGCATTTCTACAAAACTGAGGTGTCACAGTACAGAGCAGGGAGAGGAAAGATGTATCATGGTGTGTTAGAAAAATGTCAGGTTGTGAAACCTTGCACAGAGCCGTAGAGATGTTTTCACTAATTCACCTTGGCAGCCAGATTAGGTGAGTCACATTAACTCTAACCTCTAAGGCAAAAGGGGGGTGGGGGGAGCAGGAGCAGAGCTCTCCACACACAGGGAATTTACAGATGTTTCCGTGCAGGAGCCAGCTTTGGCAGGGAGCTGATGGTTGTCACTGTGCAGTTTATCAAAGCAGGCTTGGACAATGCTCTTTGGTCCTGACAACAATGAACATATTCTATTAGGTGCAGAGAGGGACTGCCAGCTCCTGGTAAGTGAGCCACTCTGTTTCCATTAAGGGAAGATGTTTGCCTTGCACATGTTACCCAGGGATGAAATCCTGACCCTGCTGCCAAACCCTCATGACAAGGTTTGTCCCCTGGTTCAGTACAACCCCTTCCCAGTGAAGGGGTTTCCAAGTTTCCCTTGTGAGCATGACTCCTCGTGCAGCACAGCTCTCCTCACCCCAAACCATCCCTTCCCCTGGCTCCAGGCAACCTTCTTCCCTGGAGGTTTTTTGCCTTTCACACGTTCATAGTTTGGTTTGTCGTTGCAGCCTCATTAAACACTGTCTTGCCAAGCTGCAGCTCCTTAACTCTCTCCCAGTAAATCAAAGAGAAGCTTTCTGCTCTGGAGGCTGGAGATAGAGAGGACAAGCCTGGGAGGCTTGACAATCAAACCAAGAGGGAACAACCCCAAGCAGAGCGCGCCAGGCGTTCGTGCAGCTCGGGGCTGGGGCAGGCAGCTGGGAGGTGTGCAGGAGGAAGGCTTTGGAGGCCCCCTGCACCAGTGGGCGCCCCCCCGCCCCAGCCACATTTCCCATCCCCAGCTTCCTAACTGCACCCAGAAAAATAAATCATGAACCCAAAGAGCAAATCTGCTTGGCAATGCCAGTGTGCTGGCAGGGTGCCCCCCTCTCCCCTTTGGAAACAGCCACGTACAACCCCACGGGCTCTGCATATTGTGCCCTGTTGATGGACACACCTTCCTATGCTCTTATATATGAGAGATATAGAATATATAAAATACAGGATATATATTTTATAGATAGAAATCCCACTGTGCGTGGAGAAACAGAACTTATGCTGTTCCCACACATTTCTAGGTCCCTCCCACCCCTGCCCACTCCAAGGCTGAGCTCCTCCTTTCTGGAAGTGTGCAGAGCCAGCTGGAACCCTGTCTGTGCTGTGTGCAGGCAGATCTGCCAGGCAGCCAGGGACCAGCACTGCATTCACTGGGTGCCCTGCCAGACAGCCCTCTCCCTTCAGGCCCCAGGTCCTTACATCTCCAAAGGGGAAACTAGTCTCTAGAGGTGGCAGTCACGTTTTTCTCTGCCCCCCCCCCTTTGTGCCTCCCACA